TTGGATGCCCGGAGCCAACTGTAGGCCACTTCGTGCTCTTCGACTTCCCAGCTGAACTCCATTCCCGGGCCACATTTTGGATGCCCGGAGCCAACTGTATGTAGGCCACTTCGTGCTCTTCGATTTCCCAGAACTCCATTCCCGGGCCACATTCTGGATGCCCGGAGCCAACTGTAGGCCACTTCGTGCTCTTCAAGTTCCCAGAACTCCATTCCTGGGCATGATTTTGAATGCCCGGAGCCAACTGTAGGCCACTTCGTGTTCTTCTAGTTCCCAGAACTCCATTCCTGGGCCACATTTTGAATGCTGAGGCAGGCTGATGCTGCGGCCGAGGCAGGCTGAGGCTGAGGCAGGCTGAGGCTGAGGCCGAGGCTGAAGGCAGACTGAGGCTGAGGCTGAAGCAGCTGAGGCTGAGGCTGAGGCAGGCTGAGGCTGAGGCTGAGGCAGGCTGATGCTGAGGCAGGCTGAGGCTGAGGCTGAGGCTGATGCAGGCTGAGGCTGAGGCAGGCTGAGGCTGAGGCCGAGGCTGAAGGCAGACTGAGGCTGAGGCTGAGGCTGAGCAGGCTGAGGCTGAGGCTGAGGCAGGCTGAGGCTGAGGCTGAGGCAGGCTGAGGCTGAGGCTGTGACTGCGACTGCTGTTGCCGCTGCGACTGTCATCGCGAATTCGACTACGACTGCGAGAGCAGCAGAATTCTACAACTGGATTTTCATCTGAATCTTAAGGGGAATGCTTTCAGATATGCTTCTACATATCGCTGTTAGGTTGCTTTGCCAGGATACTTGCATTGGTCTGGCGTGCTTCGCGCGGGATCAGAGCCGAAGGGGGGAAGGGAGGATAATAATCTCCCCATCACCTATCACCTGGTCAGCCTCCCCCTCCTCGAGCTCACTCTCCTGGTCCATATCCTTTCAGTCGTCTTCCTTCGGCATTCGCTTATTATTCACGTTTCGCGTATCCCCACCAGCACATTCAGAAACCCTGCCCTTCTGAGCTGACGGGAAAAGGGACGAAGAGACACATCTAAGGAAACAGAGCGAGCAAGGGGGTGGTTTTGGAAGCCCTCTTCGGGCCATCCCTGGGCGCCGCGTGGGGGCGAGGAGAGGAGGAGGAGGAGGAGGAGGAGGAGGAGGAGGAGGAGGAGGAGGAGTAGGAGGAGGAGTACGAGGAGTACGAGGAGGACGATGAGGACGAGGAGGACGCGGATGAGGGCGAGGATGAGGAGGACGATGAGGACTAGGATGAGGACGACGTGGACGAGGACTCATGGAACCATCTAAGGGTATTCTTGCGGCTGCTGCTGCTGCTGCTGCTGCTGCTGCTGGTGCTCTCTGGGAGTTTTGGGGGCCCTCTTGGAATCCTCGTGATGACCCTGAAAGGCTTCTGGGGATCATCTTGGAGGCCATCGATTACAGGATGGGGGGGTCCCAACTCAGCTCCTGCCTCAGGACCCGGCAACCTGCTTCTTTGGGCTCTCTTGGAGCGCTCTTGGGCACTCTTGGAACGGTCTTGGGGCCGTCTGGAGCATCTTGGGAGCCATCTTGAGCCAGTTTGGGCTATCTGAGCCATCTTCTTGGAGGTCATCTTGGGCTCTCTGAGGTCGCTCGGGGGCCTCTTGGGGGCCTCTCGGGTGCCTCGTGGAGGCCTCTTGGGGCTTCTTGGGGCACTCTTTGGGCCCTGTTGGGGGCCTCTTGGGAGCCCTGGAGTGCCTCTTGGGGCCATCTTGGGAGGTTGTCGATCAAAAGGGGGGGTCCCTCAAATTGGTCCCCCCCCATCGGGGGCCACGATCCTCGTGAGGGGTGTCAAAAATTGGCCCTCCCAGGGGCCGAACAAAAACACCCTCTGCCACCTCGCGGGGCACCTCGTCCGGGCCCAGGGGTAGGGGTAGGGGGAGGGGTCAAGACCCTGTCCCCGCCCGCAAGCCGTCTCGCTCACTCCCACCCGCCCTCCCAACACACACGTAGCCCCCGAGTCTGGCCCGAGCCGCAGCATATTCAGCAGTCGTCTTTGGACGGGCAGCTACTGGGGGCCAATCCGCCGCCGCCGCCGCCGCCTCCGCCACCGCCGCCGCCGCCGCCGCCGTCGCTGCCCGCCGCCGCCGCCGCCGCCGCCGCCCCCCGCCGCCGCCGCCGCCGCCGCCGCCGCCGCCGCCGCCGCCGCCGCTGCCGCCCGCCGCCGCCGCCCGCTGCCAAACCGCCGCCGCCGCCGCAGCCGCTGCCACTACCGCCACCGCCTCCGCCGCCGCCGCCGCAGCCGCCGCCGCCGCCGCCCCCGCCCCCGCCGCCGCCGCCGCCGCCGCCGCAGCCGCCGCAGCCGCCGCCACCGCTGCCGCAGCCGCCGCAGCCGCCGCCGTCGCCAAGTGTATTCTGTATTGTTTTGTTGACAGGGATGGTGGGGGGGGCGCATCGGGTTGGCTGCGCATGTTCCGAATTTGGAAGCAGAGTGTGTTTTGTATTGTTACCTAACATCGAAGACTGGTAGGTTTCTAGTGGGGTAAAAAGAGCTCACAGATCACTCCACAGGGGGGTCCGGGCAGGTGTTGGGAGTTGCCGGGCGGCAGGGTGCCGGGCTCGTTTTTCGCCAACAGTCACACACTTCGTGCTCTTCGACTTCCCAGAACTCCATTCCCAGGCACATTCTGGAGGGCCGGATGCAACAGTCACACACTTCGTGCTCTTCGAGATCCCAGAACGCCATTCCCGGGCCACATTCTGGAGGGCCGGATGCAACAGTCACACACGTCGTGCTCTTCGAGTTCCCAGAACTCCATTCCCGGGCCACATTCTGGAGGGCCGGATGCAACAGTCACACACTTCGTGCTCTTCGAGTTCCCAGAATTCCATTCCCGGGCCACATTTTGGATGCCCGGAGCCAACTGTAGGCCACTTCGTGGTCTTCGAGTTCCCAGAACTCCATTCCCGGGCCACATTTTGAATGCCCGGAGCCAACTGTAGGCCACTTCGTGCTCTTCGAGTGCCCAGAACTCCATTCCTGGGCCACATTTTGAATGCCCGGAGCCAACTGTAGGCCACTTCGTGCTCTTCGAGTTCCCAGAACTCCATTCCCGGGCCGCATTTTGATGCTGATGCAGAGGCTGAGAATGGTGATGCTGATGCTGAGGCTGAGGCTGAGGCAGGCAGGCTGAGGCTGATGAGGCTGAGGCAGGCTGAGGCTGAGGCCGAGGCTGAAGGCAGGCTGAGGCAGACGCTGAGGCAGGCTGAGGCTGAGGCAGGCTGAGGCTGAGGCTGAGGCTGAGGCAGGCTGATGCTGAGGCAGGCTGAGGCTGAGGCTGAGGCTGAAGGCAGACTGAGGCTGAGGCAGGCTGAGGCAGACGCTGAGGCAGGCTGATGCTGAGGCAGGCTGAGGCTGAGGCTGAGGCTGAGGCTGAGGCGGATGCAGGCTGATGCTGAGGCAGGCTGAGGCACAGAGGCTGAGGCTGAAGGCAGACTGAGGCTGAGGCTGAAGCAGGCTGAGGCTGAGGCTGAGGCAGGCTGAGGCTGAGGCTGAGGCAGGCTGATACTGAGGCAGGCTGAGGCTGTGACTGCGACTGCCGCTGCCACTGCGACTGTCATCGCGAATGCGACTGCGACTGCGAGAACAGCAGAACTCTACAACTGGATTCTCATCTGAATCTTAAGGGGAATGCTTCCATATATGCTTCTACACATCGCTGTTAGGTTGCTTTGCCGGGATAATTTTTTGTATAAGGGATGGTGGGGGGGGGTCGTCATGGTCGCTGGTTGGCCCCCAGTCGCCTGGGGGAGGGGGTGTGCACTAATAGGGAACAGTGATAAACCCCTGCTCGAAGGGGAAGAGGGGTGCTTGGAAGAGGACAAAATAATCTCGTTAGACCACCTACGCCCAGAGGGCTGGTGGGATTGTGGTCTTCTTGGGGCTCTTTTGTCGGGTCTTGTGTCTCGAAACGCTCTGGGGTGTTTTCGGAAACCGTGGAGGGCCTCTTGGGGTCGTTCTGGAGAGCATGGATCAAAGGAGGGGGGCCCTCGATTTGGCCCCCCTCCCCCCCCGTCGGGCATCTTCTTCGAAAGTCGCTTCTCGGAGTTCCCTTGAGGCTCTTTTAGGCGGTCTTGGGGTCCTCTTGGGTTTCTTTTTTGGGGGTCATGGGGCCTTCTTGAGGCCCTCTTGGGGCTCTCTTGGGCCTCTCCTGGGAGCTTCGGAGAGCCTCTTGGGGCCATATTGTAGGCCATCGATCAAAAGGGGGTCCCTTATCTAGCTCCCCCCCTGAGAGCCATCAAAATCGCCTCTTGGGGCGGTCTTGGGCCCCTCTTGGGGCGATCTTGGGCGGTCTTGGGGCCGTCTTAGGAGGCCTCTTGGGCCCCTCTTGGAGCTCTCTTCGGCCTTCTTGGGGCCATCTTGAGGCCTCAACAGCGCATCGGAAGCGAAAAGGCGAGAAGGCCACAATCATTGATGTTCCCTAGGTGTTTGAAGGATTTCGGCTTCTCGGGGGGGTCCTGACGGGTTTCCAAAAGCACTTGGATCCGTCTTGTGGCCTTCTTGGGGCCTCTTGGAGGCATGTTGTTAGCTATATTGAGCCCTGTTAGGCTATCTTGAGCGATCTTGGAGGCCATCTTGGAGCATCGGATGCCCTCTTGGAGCCATCTTGGGCGCTCCAACCTCGCGGACTCCCCCGTCCAGATCCAGGGGAGGGGGTAGGGGGAGGGGTAACCCCCTCCTCGAAGGGGAAGATGGGATTTTAGACGAGGAAAGAAAATCATCGTTAGACCACTTGCGCCCACAGGGCTGGTGGGATTTTACATAGCTCCTCCTCTTATTCATCCGCTCTGTGTTGATATGATGCCTGGTAGGGATTGATGATCGGGTTGGTGATATTGCGGAGCTGTTTCCATAATCGTAATGAACACCCTTTCAGCGGGTGTCATTGTACCACGCTATTCATTCCAGCGATTGAAATGATGCCCATGTTGGTCTCTTCCCTACGTTCTGGTCCAGTTATCATTATTTCCGTATTTTGTTCCTCCCGCAGGGACGTGGGCAAGTCGGTGCCGTTCCTCTGCAGTGGTGAGATCGAGAAATTCTGCACCCCCGCAAGCGAAGGGATTCTGCAGATGCCTTAGATTTGCGCGGGTCTTCAATGCTCCTGCTGTGAGTTGCTAGAGGAGGACCAGAACCCGGAAGAGCATATCGTTCAGGATGGTGGTTGCGCGAAGGGCGGGGACACATGAGCGTTGATGTCATTGGCTGCAGCGATAGCTAGTCAATGCCGAGGAGGGACCCACGTTGAGGCTGGACAAGTCAAGCGTGGACGAGCTTCATACGCTAAGGCCTCGCCTTCAGGAGAACCCCAGAGGTCCCCAGGATCCTATCCTTCGAGGTGCCTGAAGGCCTCCGGAGGCCGCAGGGGCTTCTGGGCCCAAAAGAGCCAATCCCGCCAACAAACACCTTGATCCGCGATCCCCGATCCTCTCCTCCTGCCTTCCCTTTGAGGCGGAGGAGGGGAAGGAAGATTGAGAGGGATGATCGAGTTCTGGTGTTTGCGTTGTCGTTTGGCACCCGTTCGCGCGCTGCTGCGCTGGTTGATTGCGAAGTCCACCTTAGAAGAAGCCGCCATTTCCATGTGACAGCCGAAAGAAAGAGCATGGCCAGAGAAGTTCGGGCCAGTTTTCGACAAGCTGCGACATATTGGGGTCTCGAGCCACCGGTCTTCTTGTACACGGATGAGGACTGATTGTCCTCTTGAGCTCTAGAATCTTCCGAGCGTAACGGTGGTGAAGCCCTCAGTATTTTGAAATGGCAGCAGGCCTCCTCATTTTTCATCCTTCCTACCTCCTTGCCCCCCTCCTCCGCCCTCCCTCAAGTATGCCCTCTACCTCAAGCATCCCCGCAACTCCCCCCACCAACCACCAGCAGGGGGGAGAGGAGGTCCTGGAGCCTGGCGATGGCCCCCAGATGCCGAAAGCGACGAATTTGTTCCACCATGATTGTTTCCTGCCCTTCTCAAAGGGGGCGGCAAAGTGGCGCGAACATGCCGCCTTTTGCGCACCGCGGGATGCGATGTGCAAAATTTGGTTGCTTAGGGTTGGTCCTTCTGGTGGAGCATCCTTCCATAGCCAGGACTTTCGAGGGCCGCATTTCCTTGAGGTCCCCCCTGCGTGCGTCTTTGCCGCGCTTTTCGTGGCTTCATCGTCGTGGTCGTCGTGGTCGACAGCTCCGGTCCCTCTCTAGTCTCACTCTTTGTTATGCTGTGATGGTGCGAGACTAGCTCAGGAGTTGCAGGCTTGCGTCATCGAATATTTCTAGATCCAATTCGTTCATGCGGCGCGCCCGCGGGGTCTGGAATTGGTCCGGAACAGCTGTAGTTGCCAGACGTTCCGCCGACACCGGACGTTACGTCATTGGGGGGTGAGGGTGGTAGTGCTCGGTGACGGCCGTCACGCTCAAAAATCCAGGGAAGCTGAGAATGTGGCTGGGCTGAGGCCCTGGCCAGTTTCCCTTCCTGCCGATCTCACCCAAACCGTTCTGGGCTCGTTTCCGCCCTTCCAGCCCTGGCCGGGCCGCTTCCACCGTGACTGGATTTCCAACTTTCATTCTAGACGTTTCGCGTAATCCCACCAGCTCATCCAGAAACAATGCCCAGAGGAGTTGCTTCGGCTCGGGAAGTGGGCAGCACGCAGACGCAGGGTCCCCCAGTGGAGGCCTCTTGGAGCGTCTTGGGGGCCTCTTGGCGGTCCCGGAGGCCTCTTGGAGCGTCTTGGGTGCCTCGGGGAGCTTCTTGGGGCCTCTTGGGGGTCTCTTGGAAGCCTCTTGGAGGCCTCTTGGGCGCCTCTTGGGGCATCCTGGGGCCTCCTTGGCGCCGCTTGGGGCCCTCTTGAAGCGCCCTTGGGAGAGCTCTTGGGGCCATGTTGGAGGACATCGAGCTTTCAGTAGCGGTGCCCCCCAAGAGGCCAAAATGCGGCCAAAACATCAGTACAACCAATGGTTTTGGCTTCCTCGCCGAGGCCGTTTTGGACGCCCTGACACCTCGCGACCGGCCCCGTCCAGGTCCAGGGGAGGGGGTAGGGGGAGAGGTCAAGCTACCCGCCCGCCCGCAAGCCGTCTAGCTCACTCCCACCCGCCGTCTCTGCACACAAGTAACACGCGAGCCTGAGCATGTTCAGCGGTCGTCTTTGGATGGACAGCTACTGGGAACCAAAGCCGACCCCACGTGCGCGACGCTTGGGCGAGGTGCGCCATGCGTGCCAGGGGCGCCACGCGCGCCAGGCACCCCTGGGGCCCGAGCGTGCCAGGCACGCCTGGTGCGCCAGATGCGCCACGTGCTCCGAGTGCGCCAGGTGTGCCGCACACTCCAGCCGCGCCAGGTGCGCAGCGTCTGGGGCACGTGCAGAGTGCGTCAGGTGCGCCTGCGCACGTGACAGCACACATCGGGAAACATGCCGGCCCCCGCCATCCTTGTCGAAAACCGATGCCCATCATTGTGTTTGGTGGGCCTGCGTACAGCAGGCCACGCGCCACCACCCCCGCCGTCCCTGTCAAAAACCACTTGACAGTGATCGCGGGATGGCCGCGCATGATCCAGATTTAACCGCCAGGTGAATATTGTACTGTTTGTTGTCAGGGATGGTAGCCCTGCGCACAGCAGGGAATATGCTGACACCCCCGCCGTCCTTATCAAAAACAAAACAAAGTGCTCGCGGGCCTCACGAACATGGCGCACGACTTTTCCCCAAAGTGTACTTTGCATTGTTTTTGGATAGGGATGGTGGACCGGGGGCCGCATCGGGTTGGCCGCGCACGCTCCAAATGTGGAGGCAGTTTGCGGTTTGTATTGTTTTTTGGCAGGGATGGTGGGGGGTGGGTCGGCATGGTGTCCGCATGGTGTCGGGTTGGCCCCCGGTCGCCTGGGGGAGGGGGTGTATATTCATAAGGAACAGTGATTGACCCATCCCCGAAGGGGAAGAGGGGCAGATGGAAGACAAAACACCCTAGACCACCTCCGCCCTAAAGGGCTGGTGGGATTTTGATTCTGGGGAACCTCGGACCTCTCCCGGGGCGCGTTCGGAACAGAAGTGCGAGGCGACTCCAAGCGTGGCGACGAGGGCCTCCCAGGAGGCCCGAAAAGGCGAACTCGAGGGAGGGGCAGCGGTATCGATGCCTTGTCCTTCTCTGAATCTTCCAGCTCGCTGCACTTCAATCGGCGCTGGACCCTTCTCCCTGGCCTGGCGCGCTCCGCGCGCCAGGGGCGGTGCCGTAGGCGCCGCCAGGGGGCTCCAGCGCCGATGCGAGAAATCAGCGCGGACCGCCGAGTTTTTGTTTGTGTGTTATTGCTTGGCCCCCTGCTTGAGGACATGCCGCATGATGTTCCAATCTGCTATAGCCTCGATCACCAGAGAATTTCGAGCACCAAGAAAGTACCAAAACTGAAGGGTTTTCACGTGTCGGGCCCTGGGAAGCGATACTTGTTCGACAATTCGCCAGCGCGTCGGGCAGGCACTCTTTCGATACTTTTTCCTGGGTCCTCGAACTTACTTCTGAGACTCAGTCCTTAAGAACGATGGGAACCACATAAGGTATGATGTTCCCATCGTACTTGAAGACCACATCCCAGACATACTTTCAAACACCCCGAACAGTATCGAAGCAGTGTCTGCCCGGCGCGCTAGCGAAGTGTCGAACGAGTATCACCCCCCAGGGCCCGACACGGGAAAGCCCTCCAGTCGTGATACCGTCTTGTTGCTCGAAACTCTTTCTGGCAGTCAAGGCTGAAGTAGGTTGGAACATCAAATAAAGTCATGATGTTCCAACCTACTTTAGCCTTGATCACCAGACAGAGCTTCGAGCTCCAAGGAAGTACAGAAACTTAAGGGCTTTCACGCGTCGGGCCCCGGGAGGCGACATTCGCCCGACGCCGTCTCGATACCTCCTCCTGGGTGCGCGACATGAGAGTTCTGGGCTGTGGCCCTGCAGCACGAGGGGAGCCACATGAACCTATGAGGCCCCCCACCGGCCGGCACCAGGCCCCCCCCTGATGGTCCGCTACCGAAAATTTCCAGTAGCGCTCCGCAGAGATCGGTCGCTACCGAAATACCGAAATGTAGCGCCCAATACCGGTATCAGAGCGTTCTGAAATCCGCTATTTCAACGCCCTCAAACGAAGATCCGGTCGCTACCGAAATTCGGGGTGCGTCGAAATCGCTACCGAAAATTTCCGGTACCAGACCATCTGGGCCCACCGCGTGCGCGGGCCGGTGTGCCCCCCCCCCCTCGCCCGCCCGGGCCCCGCCCCGCTGCCCCCCTGCGCGGCTCGCGAGAGGCCGTGCCTGGCCCGGAGCGCGGGCGAGGCCTCGCCGGCCTGCCGGGAGGCGGTGGCCGCCACCCGGGGCCTGGTGGGCCGGGCGAGGACGCAGAAGGCGCCGCCGCGGTCACGTGGTGCCACGGCCGCCGTCGTTCGGGGGAGAAACAGATACGGATACGTGTTGTCCCCCTTCGTTTTCGGCCTTTCCTGGTCCTCCTGGGGAATCCTCGTTGTCACCGCTGGATTCGCCTCGAAATTCTGGTCAGAACGCACCCCAAGAGAGGTCCGGGGACAACACGTATCCGTATCTTTCCGCCCTCAAAGTCGTCGTCCCCGTCGTCGTCGTGAAGGTCGCCGTCGTCGTCGTCGTTGTCGGCGGCGGCGGCGGTGGCGGCGTCGTCGTCGTCGAGGGCAGAAGGTGCCGGCGTGGTCACTCGAGGAGTGGCGAAGCGTTCTGGCTCGCCTATGGGCCCACCAAAGAATCTTCCAAGAACCCTTTGTGGTCTGCACGACACGTTTTGAGGACATTTCTGGTTCAAACGGTTTTGTTTTAACGCATCGGGCTTCTGTTCTAAGAACATTGCTTTTGTTGTTACTTAGAACATTTCTGGGTTCTAAGAACATTCCTTTGTAGGCCTATAGGAATTCCAGGACGGTCGGTCCCTGCTCATCACTGGCGCCACGGCCGCCGTCGTCGTCCCCGTCGTCGTCGTCGTCGTCGTCGTCGTCGTCGTCGTCGTCGTCCTTGTTGGCGGCGGCGGCGGTTGCATCGTCGTCGTCGTCGTCGTCGCTGCGGCCGTCACCGCCCTCCAGGGCCCGCGGCGCTGCCGAAGGCCGCCGAGGGCGTCTCCTCCGAGTGGCTTTCGGGCCATCCGGACCTCCGCCAGCCGCACCGGACGAATCCACACGATTTGTTCGGGGCAACGATAGGCGGGATAGCTCAGGGCGGGATGCATCGACCCCCAATGGGCCCGATGGCCCCACCCCGCCCAGGAATGTGCGGATTCGTTATCGGGCTCCCATCGCCGATCTATCGGCGGTGTATCGCCGATACCAGGTCGATGCTTCCCCCCTGAGCCAGTCCCCCCCTGCCGTTGCCCCTCAGTCCACTGGTCAAAACGCCCAGCGCGAAGATCTTCGAAGATGGCCAGGGGTGGGGCAGGCGGAGAGCATGCTGTAGCAACGGAACGTGAAGTGCTGATTTGTGCTTCCCCTTTTCTCTGTGCAAGGCTGTTGTCACCAACCCGGCGACTGGGGAGAAGAAGGTGCGCGCGCGTTTGTTGCTTTTGTTACCCGCGGCATGCGGACAGCTTCAGGAAGAAAGGGGGAAACGACACGCATGTCATCAGAGGCACCCCCAGTGGCAGCAGCGGCGGTGTGGACATGGAGACGGTCAAACGCGCATCATGGACGTACTGTTGATGGCTTGAAGTTGCCCGTGCCGTCCAAACTTTGGAACGATGGCCGAACTGATGTCAGAAAAAGCTTGGAGTTCCTTGTGTCCGTCTTTGGGGTTGCCTTGTAAGTTTGCCGAAAAAGGACTTCGCTCCATATTCAAGATTCTCCATGGCAGCATTTCATGTGTAACTAATCGACTGGTTATTCCCCAAACATCGCATGACTTAGAAAGTCTCACTTGTGTTGTCAGAAGCTGGCCCTCAAGGTCGGTCTGGCGGCTACGTAGTCGCCGTCGCCACCCCGTCGCTGCCCGCCTTCTGGGCCTGAAGGTCGGTCTGGCGGCTATATAATCGCCGTCGCCGCCCCGTCGCCGCCTCGCATCGATTGCACCGCCTAGATCGCACCGCATAGATGGTACCACATCTATTGCACCACGCATATTGCACCACATTTATAGTACCACATATATTGCGCCAGAGATATGTTCCATATCTATACACGTGTAGCTTTCACGCATGCATGTGTACACATGTGTAGCTATATCGCAACATGTCTAGTACAACGTAGATCGGACCACATATCTTATACTGAACATCTGACACCATATCGACTGCACATGTTCGGAGACGCGTACTGTCTATCGACGCACATTATCTGACACCATGTCGACTGCACATTATCTTGTGGAAGTGCCTATGTGGCCGACAGCTGGGCTAGAGTTTGGCCATGCTATCGGGCCAGTTGTTCCCCGAGTCGGTTTGGAAAGCCTTCGGGGAACCCGCGGGGGAGCAAGAGGTTTGAAATCGCCCATGTGTCGGAGCGTTGTGGCAAGAGCACCGCCAAGCTACCGGACCATGCCTTCCCCCACCCGTTGTGGAAACCTGTCGGGGAATACTTGGGGGAGGATGGCGGGGAAGATCACGAGGAGGCGGAGGAGGAGGAGGAGGAGGAGGAGGAGGAGAGGAGGAAGAGGAGGAGGAGGAGAAGGGGGAGGAGGGAGGAGGAGGAGGAGGAGGAGGAGGAGAGGAGGAGGAGGAGGAGGAGGAGGGGAGGAGGAGGGAGGAGGAGGAGGAGGAGGAGGAGGAGGAGGAGGAGGAGGAGGAGGAGGAGGAGGAGGAGGGAGGGGGCATCTTGGGAGCCTCTGGGGGCACTCTTGAGGCCTTCTGGGAGCTTTCTTGAAGCCTCTTGGAGGCATCTTGGGGACCTCCTTGGGCCTCCTGGGTGCGTTTGGGGGCTTCTCGGGGGCCTCTTTGGCCGTCTTGGTTGGCTCTTGGCCCGCCTGACGCCGTCGGGCCGATTGGGGGCCCTCTTGGAATGCTCCAGGGGGCCTCTCTGGGCCGACTTGGGACATCTTAGAGCCATCTTGGGCCGTCTTCGTGGGTTCCTGGACCGTATGACGCCGTCGGGAGCCGTGCCGTCTTAGGGGCCTTTCGGGGCGCTTCATGGCCGTCTTGAAGGACATCTTGGGCGTCTTGGAGCCCTCTGGGGCCGTCTGTGGGCCCTCTTGGGGCCGTCTCGGGGAATCTCTTGGGCCGTCATGGAGCCATCTTGGAGGCTTCTCGGGGCGATCTCGGGGGACTCGTGGGCAGTCTGAAGGCCGAAGAGAAGCAAATGCCAAAATCTTTCAAACAACCCAAGGCAAATCAATGATTTTCCTCTTCGGAGCACCCTAGAGAGCCTCTTGGAGCCCTCTTGGGCCGTCTTGGAGCCCTCTTTGGAGGCCTTTGGAGCCGTCTTGGTGGCTTCTTGGGCGGACTTGGATGCATCTTGGACCTTCGTGGGCCGTCTTGGAGGCCATCTTGGACCATCTCAGGCGGACTTGGAGGCCATCTTGGGCCATCTTGGCCCTCTTGGTAGCATCGTGGAGTCCATTTTGGGCCAACTTGGGCGTGGAGTGCATTGGCATGTGCAGTTTCTCGTCCCTTCCAGGCGGCCGGCGCGCTGGGCCGAAGCCCCCGGGGGAGTTCTAAAAGAACCCAAACCGAAATGGTCCAGCACGCCGGGCACCCTTGCAAGCACAGGGGGCGGCGGATCGAAGACGCCTACGGCGAATCACCGCCGCCTCCTGCCGTTTTGGAAGCGCCTATGTGGCCGAACGTTGAGGCCAGACCTGCCAAGCTATCGGACCATGTGTTGCCCGATTCGGTTTGGAAAGCCTTCGGGGAACACGTGGGCATCTTGAAGGTCATCTTGGCCGTCTGGAGGCCATTTTGACCCTTTCGGGTCTTCTTGGAGGACGTCTTGGAGGGCTCTTGGGCCGTCTTGGAGGCCATCTTGGGCGTCTTAAAAGCCTCCTGGGCCGTCTTGGGGGCCTCTTAGGGCCGTCTTGGGCCTCTTCGATGATCTTTGGGTGCACTTGGGCCATCTCGGGCCGTCGGAAGGCAGAAAAAAAGCAAATGCTACAACCCTTCAAACACTCATGGGAAATCAATACTTGTTGCCTTTTCGGGCCGTCCTGGAGGCCCTCTTGGAGAGCTCTTGGGCCGTCTTGGGCCATCTGAAGGCCATCGTCGGCCGTCTTGGTGGGCCCCTGGCCCGTCCGACGCAGGCGAAAGCCGTTTGGGGAGCCTCTCTGAGCCGACTTGGGGCCCTCTTGGAATGCTCCAGGGCCGTCTTGGAGGCCATCTTGGGCGTCTTAAAAGTCCTCCTGGGCCGTCTTGGGGGACCTCTTGGGGCCGTCTTGGGGGCCTCTAGGGCCGTTCTGGGGCCATCTTTGAGGCCTCTTGGGCGATCTTTGGGCGATCTTTGGGGGCTCTTGGGCCGTATCGGGCCGTCGGAAGGCCGAAACGAACCAAACGTCAAAATTCTTCAAACACCTACGGAAAATCAGTGTTTTGTGTCTTTTCTGGCCTTCCTGGAGGCCCTCTTGGAGGCCTCTTGGGCCGTCTTAGGCCAGCTTCGAGCCAACTTCGGCCATTTTGGTGGGCTCCTGGCCCGTCTGACGCCGTCGGAAGCCGTTCGGGGAGCCTTTTCTGGGCCGACTTGGGCCCTCTTGGGGTGCTCCAGGGTCGTCTTAGAGGCCATCTTGGGCGTCTTGGAGGCCTCTTGGGTCGTCTTTGTGCCCTCTTGGGGCCGTCTTGGGGGCCTCTTGGGCAGTCCTCAGGCCATCTTGGAGGCCTCTTGGGCGCTGTTGGGGGCGATCTTGGGGGCCTCTTGGACCGTCTTGGGTCGTCGGAAAGCCGAGAAGAAGCGAATGGCAAAATCGTTCAAAAACTTAAGGAAAATCAATGGTTTGGGCCTCTTCGGGTCCTCCTGGAGGACCTCTTGGAGGCCTCTTGGGCCGTCTTGGAGGCATCTGGGGAGACTCTCGGGCCGTCTTGGACTCTCCTGGGCCGTCTTGGACCATCTTGGGCCATCTTTGACCATTTTGGAGGCCATCTTGGGCCAACATGGCCGTCGCGGAGGCCATCTTGGGCCAACTTGGGGCAACAAAGGCATTGACGGATTGATGTTCGGGAATCTCCCGGGACCCCGGCGGGACGGGCCGAAGCCCCAGGGGGAGTTCTTTGGGGAAAAGAACCAAAACCGATAGGATTCGGCACGCCAGGAACCCTTGCGATGAATCGGCAGGGGGCGGAGGATCGAAGACGCCTACGGCGAATCACCGCCGCCTCCTGCCGTTTTGGAAGCGCCTATGTGGCCGAACGTTGAGGCCAGACCTGCCAAGCTATCGGATCATGTGTTCCCCGAATCGGTTTGGAAAGCCTTCGGGGAACACGTGGGCATCTTGAAGGTCATCTTGGCCGTCGGGAGGCCAATTTGACCCTTTCGGGCCTTCTTGGAGGCCGTCTTGAAGGGCTCTTGGGCCGTCTTGGAGGCCATCTTGAGCGTCTTGGAGGCCTCTTGGGCCGTCTTGGGGGCCTCTTGGGGCCGTCTTGGGCCTATTGGACGATCTTTGGGGGCACTTGGGCAGTCTCAGGCCGTTGGAAGGCAGAAAAAAGGCGAATGCCACAATCCTTTAAACAAACTCATAGGAAATCTATGGTTTTGGCCTTTTCGGGCCTTCCTGGAGGCCCTCTTGGAGGCCTCTTGGGCCGTCTTGGGCCAGCTTCGAGCCAACTTCGGCCATCTTGGTGGGTTCATGGCCCGTCTGACGCCGTCGGGAGCCGTCTTGGGGGCCTCTCTGAACCGACTTTGGGTCCTCTTGGGGCGCTTCGAGGCCGTCTTGGAGGCCATCTTGGGCGTCTTGGATGTCTCTTGGGCAGTCTTGGGGCCCTCTTGGGGCCGTCTTGGAGGCCTCTTGGACCGTCATGGGGCCCTCTTGGAGGCCTTGTGGGCGATCTCTGGGTGATATTTGGGTGCTCTTGGGCCGTCTCGGGCAGTCAGAAGGCCGAAAAGAAGCAACTGTCAGAATCCTTCAAAAATCAGGAACATCTTTGTTTTTTGGCCTTTTCTGGCATTCCTGGAGGCCCTCTTGGAGGCCTCTTGGGCCGTCTTGGGCCAGCTTCGAGCCAACTTCGGCCATCTTGGTGGGTTCCTGGCCCGTCTGACGCCGTCGGGAGCCTTCTTGGGGGCCTCTCTGAACCGACTTGGGGTCCTCTTGGGGCGCCTCGGGGCCGTCTTGGAGGCCATCTTGGGTGTCTTGGAGGCCTCTTGGGCAGTCTTTGGGCCCTCTTGGGGTCTTCTTGGAGGCCTCCTGGGCCGTCATGGGGCCCTCTTGGAGGCCTCGTGGGCGATCTTGGGGCGATCTTGGAGGTCTCTTGGGCCGTCTGGGGCCGTCGGTAAGCCGAAAAGGCGCAAATGCCAAAATCCTTCAAAAACCTGTGAAAATCAATAATTTTGCCTCTTCGGGCCTTCCTGGAGGGCCTCTTGGGGGCCTCTTGGGCCGTCTTGGGCCATCTTCAGGCTATGTTAGGCCGTATAGGGTACATCTTGGGCCGTTTTGGAGGCATCTTGGGGCCATCTGAGCCGTCTTGGAAGCCATGTTGGCCGTCTTGGAGGCATCTTGGAGACCATCCTGGGCCGTCTTGGAGCCGTCTGGAGCAGGAAAAACCTTTGCAACCTGTTTTTCGGCAATCTCCCGGGACCCCGGCGGGATGCGCTGGAGGCCCAGGGGAAGTTCTTTTGGAGAAAGAACCAAAACCCAAACCGAGAGGATTCAGCACGCCAGGCACCCTTGTGATGAATCAACAGGGGGCGGCGGATCGAATGGCCTTCGGCCCACCCCGCCACCGTGCCTGGGTTGCGGTATGAAGCCTGTTGGATGTTCGTTGGGATCTTTTGGGAGGCCTCTCAGGTTTGAGGCCTCTTGGGGGCCGTTTTGGGACCTCTTAGGGTCTCTTTTGGGCCTCTGGGGGGCCTCTTGTGCCATGTTGGGGGCTTCTTGGGGGCCTTTTGAGGCCTCTTGGGCGCTTCTCGAGGCCTCCTGGGGGGGCCTCTTGGGGCGGAAGGCTCGGATTTGTGGTTCGTGTTCCCTCTTTGGGGCCCCTTTTGAGGACGTCTTGGGGCCCTCTTGGGCAGTCTTGGGCGCCTCTTGGGCCGTCTTGGGGCGGTCTTAGGCAATCTGTGGGCCCTCTTGGGATGGTCTTTGGGGCCTCTAAGGCCGTCTGGGAGCGTCGGAGGACAGAAAAGCTGAAAACGCCCAAATCTGTCAAAAACCAAAGGGACATCAATGATTTGCGCCTGTGGGGGCCCTCTTGGGAGGCCTCTGGGAGGCCTGTTGGGGCGTCTTGGAGGCCTCTTGGGCTACCTTGAGGTCAACTTGGGCGTCTTGGAGCGACCGTTCGGCGACTCGGGGCCCTCTTGGACCGTCTTGGGGGGGCCTCGCGGGGCCCTCTCGGGCCCGTCTTGGGGGTCCTCTCGGGCCCGAACAGGCCACGCGACAAGGTGCCGGGGGAGCACAAGGGGGGCACGCGCCAAGCCCCAGGGGGCACGCTCTCAGGATCCGGGCCCTCTTTTCAGAGTCCGCAGGACGCATTGAGAAGTGAGGCTCCAGGGGTTATGCAAGGGACCTCGTGACACGCCCACTCCGTGGAGAGGCACGGTGGCGGATATATTGCACCACGTAGATTAGACCACCTAAATTCTACATATATATACAATGCTAGAACCACACCCTTTGGGGTCCACACTGGCTGATAGAAAGTTTCAGGACCGTTGCAGAATCGCCAAAGAGCGACGAGACGCTCGACAGGGTGCTTGCTCGAAGTCGATGTGGAGGTTGATGAGGATGAGGAGGATAATAAGGCGCCAGCTCCAGGAGGATGAGGAGGAGTCAACTTCAGGGCTGCCGAATCCTTCGCCTCGCAGGTATGGCCATCATACCACCATCCTGCGCGAAGCGCTGTCGGCCGGCTCCGGTGTCGCAGGGGCGCGCGGCTGGGATGGCCAGCTCTTGTCGGCCGAGAAGGTGGCCGTGAGAGCCCGTCGGGTGGGCGCTTTGTGAGGAGCCGCCCTGAGGCAAGCCGAGTCCTCCTGTGACACCTCATGGGCCAGGGGCTGGGAGCAGTTCTCCAGGCCTCCCAGATGGGGTCGGAGCAGATGGGGTCGGAGGATCGCCCGTGCCGCATCGCAGATGCATCGGCGATGCATCGGCGATGCGACTTGATGTGGGGCCCAATATTCTCCACGCCGACGTCGCCGATGCACCGCCGACGTCACTGGTGCATCGCCAATGTATCGGCGATGCGGCGAGATCCTCCGACCACGTCTACTCGGACCCCATGTAGGAGGCCACTAACTTCAGCATGAACGGGTCCTGAGGGGAACGGGTCCAAAGATTTCTCGCTGCTTTCGGGGTCACGGTGCCCGGAAACCGGTTCGGGATGAGACGGTCCCAGGGGGAAGCCTTGGGGTCCAGGACCTGTTTCTTTCAGGACCCTTTTCGTTCATGCCTCGTATTCCACGGCGCATCCTGCAGAATTCGGCATACATACCCTTGCTTCCCTGATTACCGGTCACTTACTTCGACGCCCCCAGCTTCACAGGCCACGGGAAAAGTACACCCTCCTTTGATTCCTCGGATTCTATCCCAAGTCGGCTTCACCCAAACATGCTTACATCATGCGCGCCTCGCCCGAAAGGGGCGACGCGCGCGCATAAATCTTGCGGCGTATGCTCGGCGGCCATACCGCTGGGGTCACGATGTATTATAAGATGGCTGGATTCTACTGTATGATCTGGCCGGACGCACGCCTCCAAGGCCGACGCATAGTAGTAGTAGTCGTCGTCGTCGTCGTCGTCGTCGTCATCGTCGTCGTCGTCATAGTCGTAGTCGTAGTCGTAGTCGCGGTCGTAGTAGTAGTAGTAGTAGTAGTAGTAGTAGTAGTCGTCGTCGTCGTCGTCGTCGTCGTCGTCGTCGTCGTCGTCGTCGTCGTCGTCGTCGTCGTCGTCGTCGTCGTCGTCGTCGTCGTCGTCGTCGTCGTCGTCGTCGTCGTCGTCGTCGTCGTCGTCGTCGTAGTAGTAGTAGTAGTAGTAGTAGTAGTAGTAGTAGTAGTAGTAGTAGTAGTAGTAGTAGTAGTAGTAGTAGTAGTAGTAGTAGTAGTAGTCGTAGTAGTAGTAGTAGTAGTAGTAGTAGTAGTAGTAGTAGTAGTAGTAGTAGTAGTAGTAGTAGTAGTAGTAGTAGTAGTAGTAGTATGTCCTTCTGCGCCCCACCGAGCCACGGCTCGTCACGAGGAGGTATCGTGAGAGCCTCTGGTGTGGGATCTGACTCTGCAGGGCTCTGACGTCGGCAAGGCGGGCTTTCGAGAGTGCCCCAGCCGCGGCAGGTCCACGTCCCCACCGCGGAACCGGCGGCGCAGCGGGAGCGGCGCCTGGACTCGCAGATAGCTGGGCGGCAGGCCCCCAGCAGCACCAAGGCAAGCACCCGCCCAGGGCAGGGGGGATGTGGGGCGCGGGGCAGGCAGCAGAGCCAAAGTTGTGGGCGCCCGAAGTGTGCACGGACAAAAGAAAGGGCACGATGCACAGCAGCAGGTGCTGTGCATCACCGACAGCGGCCGCTGCTGGGCAGGCGGACTTCTGCCTCAAAATGGACACCGTCCGCGGCGACATCGACAGCGAGTCTAGTTCAAAATGAAAAGGAACTGCTGTCGGTCTTCGTACCCAGTTTTTTCGTACCCATATCGATCGTACGGGAAGGTGTCTCCAGCTCAGCACAATATATATATATATATATATATATATATATATATATATACATACCAGGAAGATGGACACGCCTCACGCGGCCAGCCTGCGGGAGAGCTGGATACAAAGGCGGCCGCGTGCCTTCCAGCGTTCGGCCCCGTGTGGACGTCCACGCCGGCCCTCCGAATGTGTACCCAACACGTGGCTTCCGCACGTTGCGCTTTTGATTCGGTCCGCGTCTGGTTCCACTCTGCTGGTAGGCCACCCGCGGAGGCGCGAGGACAACCCTGTTTTTAGTGTGGCGGCCTGTGCCGCGAGTCTGCCGTTCTCCTGGAGTTTGGGAGGGAGAGGGGCGGCGCGATGGCGCGGATGGCGCAAATAGAACCGTGCCGCTCGCTCCTCCCCGATGCAGGAAAAGCAATCTATTCCTGCTCCTCTCCTCTGCCCCTCGCTGTTCCCCCCCTCCTTTCCCCCCTTCCCCCGCGCACTGCCAACTACCGAGCAGACCATCGATGATCCGTTTCTGTCCGGTCGGGAGAGGACCATCCGTGGTAGCCCGGACGCCGACTGCCGCGGCTTCGACGATCGACTACACGTAAGAGCGACCCTTCGCCAGAGTGACCTTTCGTGCTGGCCCAAAAAGGGGCCGGGTGATTTTCCTTGTGGTATGAGCTTGACCTCGCGTCGGCACCCGCATCGCGTGATTACGCTGGCATCTGAGCGCGCCAGGTTTGGGCCCGCCCCTTGCAATCGACAGCAACGCATACGCGTCGCACCCTACAGCTTGCATTGGTTACCCGAGGGGGGGGCCGGTCGACCAGACGGCGCGTTGTCCGGCCCAGGACCAGTCCCGAATCCCAGCCCAAATCCCAAATCGCCTTGCTGGAATATCTTCGGATATCTTTGAATATCTTTGAATATCTTTGAGTATGTTTTGCGAACCAATGGGGATATCTACAATTATAAATTCTCCAAGGATGTGCAAACAGATTCCAGGCTCTCGGCTGGGGCGGGTTTTTGCCATGACACCGGGCCTGCTCAGACATCATCGCGATGCACCCCGGCACTGCCAGACCTCATCGCGGTGGCCCTCGGCAGCGTCTGCTTCACAGCGCCTTCGAAGTGCCATTCGGGGCGCTCGGATTCAATCGGCGGAATTCCGCAGCTGCCCGCTGGCTCAAAAATCTTTTGAGTGTGGCGCCCTGCCGATCGTTGCTGCGGCGCGGCAGCAACGGCTTGCGCGATTGCTTTGGGCCCCCACGGGCGCCCCTGAAGCCGCGCACCAAAGGTCACTCGAGACTCTAGCCCAGGGCCATTCCTACTTGTAGTCGAGACGATGGCGGCGCCGCCGGGCGGCGACGATGGCGGCGACGACGACGACAGCAACGAAGTCGGCAACGACGAGGGTGACAACGACAGTGGCGTCGCGGGGCGGTTTCAAAGCAGACGGCGGGGACGACGACAGCGACGGCGGCGAGGACGACGACGACGACGACGACGGCGGCGACGACGACGACGGCGGTGACGACGACGACGACGGTGACGACGAGGGTGTCAACGACAGCGACGCCGTGGGTCGGTTTCGAAGCAGACGGCGGCGACGACGACAGCGACGACGGCGGCGACCACGACGGCGACGGCGACGAAGACGGCGGCGACGAGGGCGGCGACGCACGACACCGAGCGGCGACAACCGCAGGCGCCCCAGTCGGCAGGGGTGGCGGCGCCCTCGCCGGAGCCGCCAGCCCAGCGAGCCTCCCCCGCGCATCTCCCGCGGGCGATGTTTTTCTTCTCCTTGGGCTCGAAGAGCTCGACGCGCCCTGAGGTATTCGGATTTCTTCGTCGGTTCCTGGAATTCGAAGCTCGGGGGTGGACAGAACCCCCACCCTGACACGTCAATTCGTGAATTGTCAGTTTTCGGTTGTCGAGAGGGCGCCGCGGTAGTCATTTTCCAGGCTTGCGCCCGCCAGGTTTGGGCCCGAGGTCGTTACCACTAAACCACGTTTTGCTAAAGGGGGTTCTGTCCATCCCCGAGACGCTGATGCAGCTCTCCCTCCAAACGCTCTTGGCTGGCAATGAACTCTGCGCGTCCCCTGGGTCGCCCTGTCCTTAGTAGGGCGGCGGCGCCGACAACGATGACGACGACGGCGACGGCGGCGGCGGAATAGTTGTTCCCCATGTCGTCAGGTCGAGCTCTTGTTATTTCTAGGACGCCCCGCCGCACCTCACACCCGCCTCCCTCGTGCACTCACTTGCTCATACGCAGACTCATTCACACTCTGAGTCACTTTTACTCAGACTCCCACATATTCATATTGTAAACCACTCACACTTCGACCCACTAGCGACTAGACTCAGACTCACCCATACTCATACTCACTTGGGCAACTGCTCACCGCGACATAGCAGACGTGACACTTGGGCACCCCAAGGGTGAGCCGCGTGGGTTGGGGACTCCAGGATTCGCGCCCTGATTGTGGGGATGTCTCAGGCGGATTGCTTGTTTAGGTGCCCAGTATCCTTTGCTTTCGGAGCAGATTGGGAGGATGTCACAGGCGGGGCCTGTTTTGGACCGCAGACCATATCGTTAGGATGTCTCAGTCGGGGCCCCAGCGTCCCAAGGGGAGCCGGCTGAGGGTATATCACGGGCCCGTTCGAGCCCAGATTTCGGGGATGTCTCAGGCGGTTTGCTTGCTTCGAACCTTCAACTCGTCTGCGTTCAGAGCAGATTGTAAGGATATCAAGCGGCCCAGATTGTTGGGATGTCTCTGGCTGTTTGCTTATTTCGGTACCACGACCCGTCAGGTCGACGATGATGACTACGTCGACGACGACGGCGACGACGCCCCCTCACACTCAGATCATTCAGACCTGTCACGCCCACACTCGCACTCAGATGCTCTCAGACTTCTTGTACTCACACTTATACTCAGACCACTCGCACTCACATGCACTGAGACCTCTCACGCCCACACCCACACACAGACTATTCACAATCACTCACACTCATGCGCACAGACTCACTCATGCTCAGACTCACTACATACATATTCATTCACACTCAGACGCACATGCTCGTATATTATCATACGCAGACCCATCCATGTTCAGACTCTCTCGCGATCAGTCACTCGCAGTCGGAAAGGTGTGGGCAAGCACATGCACATATATGGAGATCTCCGCGTCGAAGAATTCGCCGATGATTGGTAGGCGTCCGCAGCTCTCAGCTAGCACCCAGAAAATCAGGAGTTTCCCATCAGTGAGTGGGGTTCCAGAGTTTGTGGGGATCCCAAAGTTTTCCCAGCCTCGGGACGCTTTCCAGCAGCTGCGCCTCGCCAGAGGAGCTCTTCTGGACGCGCCCTCAGATCGTCCCAAGCGGCCGCCGCGGAGGCCGGGGCGCCTTCCCCGAGCGCAGCCCAGAGCCCAGGCGGAGGCTCTTCGCCAGCTTCCGCATTCTGGACCGCCCGACATCGGCTCGGGATATCACAGTTAGCCTCAAGTCGGGTATGTCCCTCTACAGGAAGAACATGCAATAATAATCCTCAAATAGTCCGGCGACGAATCTTCGCGCTCTTCGCATCATACAACACGTATGTTTTGATTATCTTGTGTGTTTCTTTCAACATCCGCCTCTAGGAGGACATGCCTGACCTAAAGTTAGCCCTGGGAAACGTGTTGGGACTTCGGTCTGGGTCTCACAAATGTTCGGATGCAACTCCTGGGAGGTCAAATTCTGATTTTGCCCTGGTCCGAAATCGGGCTTGATCTCGCTCGATGGCCTGAATCCCGTTTAATCCAGCTTAATCCCGCTTAGTCTGCGGCCTAATCTGGCGTAACAGCCCCCCAAAGGGGTTTAATTCTCCCTAATCTTTGCGACGAAGACCGCCCAGTAGTCTTACAGTAGTTGTCTCCTAACAGATGGGGCCCGAGTGTATGGGGTTGGCGCATCGCGCCGCACCGCCGATGCGCCAGCGGTGCGGCTCGATGTGAAGCTCGATCTCCTCCGCGCCGACCCGACGTCGCCGCTGCAGCGCTGACGTCGAGGGTGCATCGACGATGCATCGCCGATGTATCGGCGATGCATCGGCGATGCGGCGCGATTATCCGACCGCATCTAATGCCGAAGAAGCAAAAGTTCCGCGCGGATTTCTTGGATCTGCGCTGGTCCCCCCCCCTCTCCTGGCGGCGCCTCTGGCGCCGCCCCTGGCGCGCTCCGCGCGCCAGGGAGGGGGGCCCCAGCGCAGATCCAAGAAGTCCGCGCGGAGCGCCAGAAGGTTATCTTTTAGCAGTTTGTTCTTCTTCCAGGTGCGGCGCGATTCTCCGACCCCATCTGCTCGGACCCCATCCGTGAGCTCGCCCTGGGTGAGTGTTGGGCCTCGGGGGGGGCCGAGTGGCGGCAGCAACAAGGTATCGGATGTGTATTGGGTCTGGCGTCCAGGAGCTTGGCTTCGTCCCTGCTCTTGCCGGTGGAGGGGGGCCACAACTCGGGCCTCGCCTCCTGCGGCCCATCGGAACGAGCTCGGCACCCCGGGAACGCCCTCGGCGAGGCGCAGCTGCTGGAGTCAAGGGAGCAAGAACACGCAGGGCTCCACCGTCTGAGGGACACACGCAGGTCTGCCGGGCTACGAGGGACACACGCAGGGCTCCACCGTCTGAGCTACAAAGGCCACGAGCTGAGCAGCGAGAGCCGCTACCATAGCTACGCGTGCCGCCAGCTGAAGTACAAGAGCCACGAGCAGAGCCTCGAGAGCCTCCTGCACAGCTAAGGGGATCACCTGCTGAGCTTCGAGGGCATCACACGCACTGAGCTACGAGGGCCGCAAGCAGAGCTCCAAGAGCCACCTGCGCTGCGCGTGCACCCGCGGAGCTTGCGAGGGCCTTTCGAGATTCACCAGCGCTGCTACCAGGGAGCGCCCCCTGCGCGACGAGAGCCGCCAGATGAGCGACCGGGGCCACAGGCTGACAGACGAGAGCCTCCGGCAGAGCTACCGGGGCCATCAGCTGAACAGCGAGGACCACAGGCTGGTGCACGAGGGCCACTCGCAGAGCTGCGATGACTTCCGGCCGAGCTACGAGGACCGCCTGATGAGCTCGAGTGGGCCGCCCACGACTGCATCTACAATCTAGGCCATCGGCCTTGGGTCGAGAACTGCGGTTTGCAAGGGGAGCGCACGGAACACACATCTTCAGCAGCTACTGGAGCAGAAGCGGCACACCACGAAGAGCAGAATAAGCACAGGCCCCTTCCAGAACACAGACGAAGTGATCTGGGACATGAGTGTTGTGAGAAGCTCGGCAACGACAAGGCGGAAAGGGTACCGTCGAAATCGGGGACCCAAGGAGACCAAGTGACCGATCACCACAGGCGATATAGTCGAGGCGAAGCTCGGCAAGAAAACCGTCGACGGTGGAGGAATACAGATCGACGCCCTGCAGACTACGGTCCGACGGGAGGACGGCCGAGAGTCCACGGGAGGCAGACTTACAATCCGGCGGAAACCGCACACGCGAAGCCACTTGTGCAACATGCTGTCGGCATAACATCAAGAACCAGCACAGAGCTACGGACAAGGTAATACAACTGCTGCCCTACTGGCGAGATGCCACGTCTACATCAAGTGCATGATGAGCGGCCCGGCTGCTCCTCCCCCTCCCCATCCTCCTTCTTATCCTCCTTCTCCTCCGCCTTCTCCTCCCTCCTCCTCCTCCTCCTCCTCCTCCTTCTCCTCGTCCTGCTCTTCCTTCGTGGGCCTCAGGATGTGTAGCAAAGAGCCTTGGGCGGGCTCCCCTTCTTCCTCCCCATTTACGGAAAGTGTCGCCCAGTGGCGTCCAGGGGCGCCCCGCACTCGTGCCGGGCTGGCCGCCCGCCCCGCCAGGTGGCCGCGGTTGTGCAAGCGCGGCAGGGGACGCCCGATGGCGCTGAGTAAGTAACTAAGCGTGAGGAGGAGGAGGAGGAGGAGGAGGAGGAGGAGGAGGAGGAGAACCGGCGCAAGCCCAAGACACATCAACGACGTTGAAATACACCTTCTTTCGAAGATTTGTTTCAGAGGCCCCTGCAAAGGGTCATTTCCACCGAGGAAATGCCCCGTTTGGGCACAACGCACCAGCCTCAGGGTTTCAACGTCACGAGTTAACCTCGTTGTTACGTCGCCGCCGCGAATCAACGTAAGTGTTGCGCCCTGACAATCCTGAATCGCTCTAAACCGCCGTTTCTGGTACGTTAACCATGTGCGCGGTGCTGAGGCGAGACCCCCACATTTTGAAAACGACCCGCCCTCAACCTATGACGTTTTTGCAAGCTTTTAGCCCGAATGTGCGCGGCGCTACGGCGAAAAACATATTTTGAAAACGACCTGCCCTCAATCCGCGAAGCCTTTGCAAACTTCTAAAACGAGTATGCGCGGCGCTCAGGCGAGAGCCACATATTGAAAACGAGCCGCCCTCAATCCGCGAATCTGTTGGCAAACTTCTAGATCGAATGTGCGCGGCGCTGAGGCGGGAACCACGTTTGTACCCGCGAAACTTTTGCCCACGTTTGGAAATAATGCGCGCGGCGCTGGGGCGAGAAACACATTTTGAAAACGACCCGCCCTCAATCCGTAAAGCCGCTGCAATTGTAAACCAACGATTGTGCGCAGCGTTAACGCGAGAGCGACATTTTGGAAACCACCCGCCTTTAATCCGCGAATCCATCTGCAAATCTTAAACGAATGCACGCGGCTAGTAGGCGAGAGCCACATTTTGAAACGAGCCGCCCTCAATCCGCGAAGCTCTTACAAGTTTCTGAAGCGAATGTGCGTTGCGCTAACGCGAGACCTACATTTTGAAAACCACCAGCCTTCAATTTGCGAGCCTCTTGCACGTTTCTCATACGAATGCGCGCGGCGCTGAGGCGAGAGCCACATTTTGAAAACCACCCGCCCTCAATCCGTGAGACCCCTGCACTTGTTTGACACGAATGTGCGCGGCGCTCAGGCGAGAGCTACATTGTGAAAACCTGACGCCCTCCATCTTTGAAACTGTTGCCATTGTTGAAGCGTCGGGCGAAACGCCTGGCCCGCCTGTTCGACCAGCTTTGGTGTGCGACCGGGAGGAGCTATCCATAAGGAGAATGGGAGGGGAGGAGGAGTGGAGGAGGTGAGGGGGAGCAGGGGCGCGAGGAGCAGCCCCCAGCAACAGCCAAGAGTAGCAACGGACGGGCTCGATGCCGTGGGCCCCGTGGCGCGCCGAGGCTGGCAGCCCTGCGGGAGGCCAACCTCGACGCCCTCCTGGCCGGCGAGCCCGCGAGCCCGCGCCCGGCGCAGAGCGGCGACGAGGCCACGGCCTCGGCTTCGCAGGGCGCCCGAC